ACGAGAAAAACACCTCCACAAAATAGAAAGGACACTAATACAAAAACAATACCAATAACAATGAAGAGGCTATATACATAATCACACCTTCAATATCAATGGGCTAAAGACTTGATGTAAAAACCAACAACAAAAGAGACCAAAGATGTGCATATGTTGAATCAATGGTTGAAGGGAAAAAATGAGCAATTAAAAAATACCCAAAAATTAAATATCTCAGAATTCAATTTTAATCTCAAAAATAGAAAGAAGAAGAGCTTAAATACAACACGTGAGAAAACAACAAAAAATTGAGTTAGGGGGTATTGCACGGTGGTCACGCGCTAGATGAGGGGTTACTAATGGTATTTAGATTCCAGGAAAGGAGTAATATGTGATGGTGCATGAGGAGTCTGATTGTAATAAATTTTATGTGCAGTGTGTATCTAGTTTTTGGAGACGATATGTAATGGTATAGTTGTTGGCACAAAATATATTGTGTATGTTGTTTAATACATAAATGAACAATAATAAATAGGGTTATATGAACAATAACAACATAATAATTTACTATGAATAAGGATGAATCAACAAAGAAAATTATATCGGTTATATCAGAATAAAAGACAACAAACTAAAATAAAGAAGAAAAGAAAAATTATTGATTATGACTATGTTTATGTCAAAAGCAATGTCCCAAAACCGAATATATCATCTGAAAAATTATTTTTAATATATATTAATCACTACTACGTAAAAGCCATTTCACAACTGTTGGAAAAGGGATACCATCACACCTGACCAACCGTTGTGAGGTAAAGGGTACTTGTATATATGATGCTTTCCACCACGGTCATGATACCGTGATTATAAGCTATGTAACGTGCTACTTATCACAATGATTACTTGAAACAACCATTGTGATATTCTTTAATGCATAACATTTAACAAGGATTGTTCTAAATAGCTATTGTGATATGTTCACTGAGTTTATTGTAAATTATGTGAAATGTATATTTCACCAATTCTCACTATACATATAACCTTTCAATATGATCTAGAATATTATGATATGAAAAATTAAGTTATATTAGAAGAACAAGTTACACGTTCAATGCTAGACAAGAATTATTCAGTCTGTTATCTGCTTTTTGCTTTTTAACCGTTAGAACTTTGTTTAGTGTTCCTAGTTCTTCAACCTCCCCTTCCATCACCTCTAGTTCATTTTGTAAAATATTATTTGCTTTGCAAACAATATTAGAGGTGGAGAAAGGGGCGGTTGAAGAACTAGAAGCATTAAACTAAGTTCTAGCAGTTAAACAACTAAATGCAGATAATGGTCTGAAGAATTATTGTCTAGAATTGAACATGTAATTTCTTTTCTAATATAATATTATCTATCATATTATAATTTTCTAATACAATCTGAAAAGTTATATATTTAGTAAGGGGTTGGAAAAATACTCAAACCACATAAGATATAATAAACTTATATTTTAAACAAACATTAACAACGACATTCATCAACGACATTCATCAACGACATTTATCAACAACATATAAGATACAACAAACAACTATTATTAGAAACAACAAAATCAACAACATATTGCAAAAACTACATACAACATAAAACATTTTATTAATAACAACAACAATAACATATCAACTCATAAAATGTTTCAGAAACATATTTGCCCCATAATGGCATCCATAATGAAAGGAGGATGAAGTTGAAGTGAGAGCTGCAAACTTGTGTTAGTTTTAAATTGATGTTAGTCTGGGTCTTTCGCACAAGTTTGTAACACTCACTTTAACTTTATCCTTGTTAATTTTTTTCATTCACCATCCCTACCTACAAGTCAAAACAAGCATAAAATTCAAACATTATGAACCAAGATATTAAAACGTAAACAATAATTAGGGATGGAAAAATAGGCCGCCCGCCCCGCCCCTCCCCATTAAAACGGGCCACCCTCCCCGCCCCTCCTCGTCTTAAGTTCGCCAAAAAAAGTGGGGCGAGCAAGTTTTCTAAGTGAAATTGTGCTTAAAAATCTAGTTCGCTCCGCCAAGGTGACGGGTTGGCAAGCAGTGGGTTTTCCCGCCTATTCTTTTTCATTTTTTTCTTTCATTTTTTAATTAAGTAAAAGTTTTTTTTACATTTAATTAGAAAGCATCAAAGCAATAATTAGAAAACATAAAATAGCAACTAAAAGTCTAAAACCATCAAGAAATTTCACTTAACATAGAATCATCAATAAGAGTTCCAAAATTATAGTACACGTATTGACCTTCAACCAACAAAAATAAATATTTTGAGTGCTTGATAATTAGATTGGAGGGATGGCATGTCAACCCGCCCTTTTTTTGGTGGGCTTAAGACGGGGCGAGCTTAAGGCGAGGTGGGCTGAACAGGTATGTAGGCACAAAATCTCAATCCAACCCTCCATTTATTGGAGGGTGCGCGGAGTGGCCAGCTGATCACAACCTGTTTTACCACCATTAACAATAATTCCTTAACAGACTTTGAAACATAAACTATTATTAATACGAACTTGTAAGGTAGACATTTGCCAATATTTGATGCAACAACCTTCCGAAGAAGGCAAATTCGCTGCATAAGTTTGGGGTTTCCATATGAGAGAGACGAGTGATAGAGATGTTAGAGTTTTGTTTTGATAAAGATGAGTGAAACAAATGTTAGAGTTTTGTTTTGAGAGAGATGACTGTTATGCACTAAAGCGAGAGATAATTTCGCATATATATAAATATGTAACACTTTTCACCATGGTTGATGAAATGATTGAACCTCACACCACAATTGATTATAAGAACCGTAGTGATATACAAGGTCAAATCCATTATATCATGATAAGTGGAAAATTGTTGGTGTTGAAATTCAAATTTATTCACTCCAGGTACATTTCACTATAATTTTTAACTATAACTCAGTCCTCCTCCATGAGATTTTTAAGGGGCTCTGTTATGTGTTGTGATTCAATTGGGGATTCTTATATGAAGATGGGTAATTTTTGAGCAAAATCAAATGGGAGGGGCAATGTATCTAACATAATTTGGGATAAAGCAATCCAAATAGGAGTCATTGGAACTGAAAATTAAGACTTTTATATGGAGAAGTTAAGGGCGATGGAAAAGAAAGCTCATGGGAGGCACATGTCAAAAGAAGCTAAATCAAAAGTGGTCCCATGATTTTGCTATCTTTCATTATAAGGGGGAGTTGCAATCTTGTCAAACGGAAGTGCATTAAAAAATTAACCCATGAAGAAAGATTTGATGCATGTATGATTTAAGAAAAAAAAGTATCAAAGATTGATGAGGTTTGGGTAAATTCTATTTGGGGTGTTGGTGGAGCAGAATAGGCAACAAGAGGAGCTCAAGGAAAATTGCTTATTCAACTTCACGGGCGATGGCTTTGTCGGCGTCCATTTGGAATGACAAGGTCAGTGTTATTTCTTTGTTAACGTATACTCCGCATACAATACTCGAAATAAGAGGAAACTATGGAATGATTTGCTTGCTGTCAAAACCAAATTTGCTGGAGATAACTGGATTCTTGTTGGTAATTTCAATGCGATTAAATATGAAAGGGAAAGGAAATGGCTAACAACTCTATCAACAAATCATAATTGAGATATTTTAACGAATTTATTGATTCATTGATCTAATTGATGTGTCGACTGTTAGAAATAAGTTCACTTGGTTTAACACGGAAGGGAGCACTATGAGCAGATTATATCGATTCCTAATTTTGGAGAAGATGATTGAGAATTGGGGTGTTGTTATTCAGTGTGTTAGAAATCATAGCTTATCAGACCAGTGCTCGATTTGGATCAAAACAAATAGATCGAACTGAGGACCAGAACCTTTTTAACGGTTTGGTTGTTGGTATGAACATATGAACTTTATACCGTTTGTTACAAAAGTTTGGTTGGAAAACAAGGTTCAAGGCATGAAGGTTAATCATTTCAAAGAAAAACTAAGAAGATTAAAAGAATCATTGAAGGTTTGGAATCGAGACATTTATGGTATTTTGGATTTGGACATAGAAGACGTGATCAAAGATCTGAATGCACTTGACCTTCAAGTGGCAGCTATGGAGGAACATACTACAACAGGAATTTCACTCAAGAGAGTTGAGGCCACAAAAAAGGTGTGGAAAATATGGCAACATAAGGAAGATATTCTTAGAGAAAAATCAAGAGCTATAGGGATTCGAGAAGGTGACTCCAACTCAAAATACTTTCATGCAGTGATCAAAAGGAACTTTCGACACAATGTAATTGTGATACTTGGTACTGATAGGGGTTTACTCAATAATGTTGATGAGCTTAAAGGTGAAATTTTCAACCATTTTTAGAAAAAAATTGAACCCGAATCGAATAGGCCGAAACTGTTTTGAGTGAACTTTAGACGGTTAGTAGAGGTAGACATTAACTTTCTAGAGGAACCTTTCACTTTGGAAGAAATTAATGAAGTTGTTTGTAGTTCTGAAGGTGATAAAAGTCCAAGACCTGACGACTTTAATGTGGGGTTTTATAAGAAGTGTTGAGAGGTAATTAAGCTAGATTTATTCGACCGCGTCATAGAATTTTATTGGAATGCAATTCTACCCAAAACGTTACTGCATAATTCATTGCCCTCATTCCAAAATCAAATAATCCTCAAGGCTTGAACAACTATCATTCTATTTGTTTGATTTGTAGTATTTACAGAATTTTAGCGAAATTGCTAGCGGATAGGTTGAAAAAGGTGATAAGTGGTTGGTTTCATCATGTTAATCAACTTTCATTCATGGTAGGCAAATGGTTGATGGAGTGCCGGTAATTAATGAACTAGTGGATTTGTCCAAGAGAAATAAGAAGGATTGTTTGCTCTTTAAAGTCGATTTTAGAAAAGCATATAATTGAGTGGCATGAGACTATTTGAGAGATGTGATGAGTAAAATGGGCTTTGGTGGTAGATGGATGAAGTGGATGGAAGTTTGTGCGTTCTCAAGTACAATGTTGATTTTGGTAAACGGAAGTCCAACCATAGATTTCATGGTGGAAAAGGGTTTGCGGCAAGGAGATCCATTGTCGCCTTTTCTTTTTATGCTTGTGGCTAAAGGACTAATAGGGCTAATGCAAAACGTGAGACGATTAGGCTTGTTTCGTCCATTCAAGGTTTCAAATGACTTAAGCTTCTACTTATTACAATTCACGGATGATACATTAATTGTTGGGGAATGTTCTTAGCTTAATCTATGAACTATCAAAGCAGTGTTGAGGGGTTTTGAAATGGTGTCGAGTTTGTCATTCAATTTCAATAAAAGCAAAGGCATTGGCCTCAACCTTACACAAGGTTTCTTGGAGGCATCCTTAACATTTCTAGCTTGTGATATCTGCTCGATTCCCTTCTAGTTCTTGGGCAATTCAGTGGAGCAAATTTGAGATGACAGAGTACTTGAAGTTCGCTTTTGGATAAAATTAGAAACCAGTTATCCAAATGGAAGCGGAAACATCTCTCGATGGGTGGTCGTGTGTCCTTGCTGAATTTTGTTCTTAATTCCATTCAAATCTATTTCTTCTCCTTCTACAAGGCTCCCAAATGCGTTATTCAAGTCATTATTAGGTTTCAATGTGAATTCCTTTGGGGTGATGATTTGGAGAAGAGAAAAGTGGCGTGGATTAGGTGGGATCTTGTGTGCAAACTAAAGGATCGAGTGGATTAAGAGTAAGAAACTACGAATTGTTTAGTCTCTCTCTCTCTCTGTTTCTCTCTCTTCAGCAAATGGAAATTGTGTATTCTTAGCAAAGGCAACGTTTTATGGTCGGACCTATTATCAACGAAATATGGTGATACCAAATCTATAATGCTCGAAGTGGGAAAACTATTGGTTAACAAGTTTGAATCCTTATGGTGGAAAGACTTGAAGCTTGTAGGTGTTGTGGAGGTGGATGACTACAATTGGTTCGCAAATAATATCTCTTGTAAAGTAGGCAATGGTATTACTATTGAATTTTATATAAACATATGGTTGGGCTCTTCTTCTCTTAACATAAAATTTCCATTAATTTCTGCAATAGCAGTCAGCCAAAGGTTCAAGATCTCAAACATGGAGGATTGGGCCGACAACAGTTGGATTTTGGATGTGATGATTAAGGAGGATATTCCACTAAAAGCGTATGAGGAAGCTAAATTAGAATTACTTCTGGTCACTTTGTTGGATATTCGGCTATGCCGGCGGGTGAACGATTCTTTTTTGTGGCAGAGGTACAAAGATGGTTTCTCAGTCACAAATAGTTATCAAGTTCTCTAAGCAGTGTTTTATTCTGATATGCAGGAAAACACAAATATTGTTCAACTTTTTGATTTACTTTGGAGTACAAATGTGCCTAGCAAATACTGGTCTTTGGGTGGAGGTTGGTTTTGAACGGCTGCCGACATGCACTGCTTTAGCGAAGAGGGGAATCATTAATGTTGTTTTTCATGAAGTGGTTATTAGCATTGTTGATTAATCGAGCAAAGGTTTTGGCCTGGAATTAGTTCGCTGATAGAAACAAAGGTGCATAGGATTTTTGTTGGGAAGACTGGTGTTCAAACCCATTGTAATGTCTTGTGAATCATTGAACTATTTGTCTTAGGCTTTGATTCAGTTGACATTTCTTGTATTTAACCTATATTGTATGTTTTAGTACACTTTATACTCTTAATCTAATACAATTTACAAGAAAAACTAACACAAGACATACAATGTCAAATAAACATCCATATATAGGCCCTACCACAAGGCCGGAAATTGTTTAGATATTACAAAAATGTCGGACAAAGCCCGACAATCGAATTTACAAAAACTGGCATGTAGGCCAAAATACACTAAGTTATAAATAACAACCAGACATCATCAGCAGGAATATCTGCCGGGACCACTTTCCTATTGACCATCTGGTGTAGAATGCCCATTCCTTCGGTAACCAGCTGGAAGACGGGATTTATAGCCTTCATCTGCTCCACAACAATAGTGAATCCAAACTCGGAAGCTCCAAGGGTATCCTGCTCGAGGATACAAATCTTGTCGGTCATCTATTGCCGAGTCTTTAAAGATTTCTCCTCCTTAGTCTCGTTCGGCCCTGCCGCCGAGGAGCCTTCCAGCTCCGCTACCCTAGTCTTCAAGTTGACATTCTCCTCTTTAATCTTCTTCATTTCATCGACCATCTCTTTCATGTCTTTGAGGAGTGAGACCTTGGCCTCGTAGTTTCCTTGGAGAGTCTCCAGCTGGTTGAACAGATCAGCTGTCTCCAACTCAAGTTCAATCTTCTTGAACTCTTTAAGAGGAACTGTCTCCGCATCACCCAGGGCCAGAGCCATTTCCAACACCCTCATCATTGCAACAACATCATGGCATATGAGTGCCTTCCTCACCTTTGGACCAACAGATAAGATGGCTGACGCCTCTAGGTCGGGGACAACCACATATCCTTCCCCGTCAAAAATCTTGTCCTGCAGATAGCAAGGGGGCAGGGTGAATTTCCCCCCGACAAAACCACCTGAGCCTTCAGATGAAGACGAACCGAGGTCGTCCCGTCTCCTCTTCTTCTGAGGATCCGGGGTAGGAGGATTGGAGGTACTGCCCGGAGAAGGCGAATGACCAACAAAATTTTCCAGAGTCGCCTGTTATCTGACTACATCCACCCTCGAAGTCGAAAACTTTTTGACATTCTTGGCCGTGACAGACTTGACTAGGCGCTCACGTAAGTTTAACATCTTTTCTGCAAAGAAGAAAAAAGAGTTTGCACTACATTAAAACATCAAGAAATACAAGTCGAACACATCACCTATACCTAGAAGCTCAAAAGCCTCGACCTCAGTTTTGCAGTCAAGGAGTGCCTTAGTATTTATGTAACGAGCCGCTCGAGCGGACTCCTCATCCTCAGTGTAAAGCAGGTTACCATCCTTGTCCACCATAGCGGTAGGGATCAAACTATCCATGAACACTATCAATGCTCAAAGAGATTTCTTATCCTCGGAGCACAGCTAATCATATTTCACGAGGAATTGGTATATTCTATACCGAAAATGGGCGTACACCCACTCCAAGGGAAATTTTGACACAGGACGCACCACGTCCCGACCATCCTCCTTTATCGTCTCCATGGTAACCAGAGAACTCTTGGTCGCCTCTGAAAGGGGTTTATGACCAGAAATCTAAACCTGAAATTTTGGACAGACTCCGAATGGGGCCAGTCTGCTCTGCTGCTTAAAAGACACCCAACTCTGCTTTGACTCAGCGGTGCCCCTCTGCAGCTGAAAGATGCAGAAGAAAAGTTCCACGGTAGACCCTATCCTGAGATAATGGCATACCAGCTCGAAAGTCCGAATGAACGCTAGAGCATTCGGGAGAAGTTGGGCAGGACACAATTCAAGATGAAAAAATATCGCCCCTTGGAAATTCGTAAAAGGCAGTGGATACCCTGCCTCCCTAAAAGTGAACTCGTACATTCTCCTCCCCGGATATACCGAGCATATCCGGTCATTCTCTGTCGGACTAATCGCCCTCCAACTCATGGGCGCATCTTCGGCCCTATCTTCGAGGAGATCAAAATTACTGACCTCCTCCTCGGTAAATGTTGACATCGTCACGAGAGGCTCCTGGGAGATTCAACTGAGGTCCCCCTCTGCAACCCGCACGTTGGCATACTCGGCGGAAGGTGCATCCTCATTAGTAATTGCCTTAATGTCGGGGACGATTCCATCGTTTCGATCAACCATTTCATTTAAAAAGCAAAGGAAGCAAAAGTGAATTCGACAAAGATCAAATTCACCCTTCCACCACAAATCAAGTGAAAGGGCGAGGATTAAGTGCGAGGATGTCTCCTCGACTCAAGCCCTTATCAACGGCAAAGGGTCTCTCCGAAAACCCTCTCCGAAAACGGGGACACGTCTTCGCAACTTGTAAAGGCCCTAAAGGGGGATAAGCCCCGCGACTACTATGATGTGTTGGATACCTAAAAGTAAAACCCTCAACGTCGAGGACACCTCCTGCCCGACAACAAACATGAAACATTTTCACACGACAACCTAGGAAGATCTACAGATATGCAACATCCTAGATTTATGTTCTTCAAGACCTTCATGAATGTCCCAGGAAATTCATGTGTTCATCTAGAAATGTATGAACTTCAACCGAAAAAGTTCATACACCGCCGATAAAGTCAAGCTAAATTTCCAGAAATTCATACATTTTAACAAGAAGGTTGAAGAACTTACTTGGATTCAGAGGTTGAAGATGAAGATATTGGGAAAGGCAAGAGCAACGGATGGTGGAGAAAGAGTCTCTGGCGACGGACGTTTGTTGCAGAGCAAAAGATAAGAAGGAGAGAAATTTTCGTGAAGTGAAAATGTATCCTCTTCTCCCCTTTATATAGGCTCTTCCTCTCGCATGGGAAAACACAAAGGGTAAAATGCCATCATTGCCTAGTCTTATAACTTCCTAGACCTTAACAAAATTTATTACACCTTCACATGTGGCAAAAGAAGCTGCCAGTTAGCATTCTCAAAACTGATCCTTCACATGCTGGCGAAAAGACAAGTCCCTTCAGTTCCCCGCGGACACGTGCTCCTCGACAATGTCACCAAACGACATCCGAGTAGGAGGCTCACCGACACCCTCTACACCTTAAGGAAAAATATGGTTGATGTAAAACGCGCCTATAATATTCGACCACGCCCACACACCTTAGGAGGCAAAGCGCAACCAACAATCGACCAGGCTGATCGCAAGCTATGCGCTCGTGCGCCCTCGAAGTTTTTCATCCAAATAACGACGACTTCAAAGATCCCTGCAATATGGTTCCTGCCCTTTCGTCGACCATCTGGGCTAACTCAAGTCATTACTCCTCACCCCCAAGTCCTGGACTGGACTGACACATGTTCCACAGTTGGGCAAGACCCAATCCAGTTTAGCCTAAGGCTAGGCCCAATAAGGAGATTGGACACAACATAGCCGTTGGAAACATCCCCCTCACGCGCTTGACAGTTCACGCGACCAACTGTCCCTCCGAAATTCATGGAGAGAGTTGAACCAGGTCAAAGATCACGCGCTAGATCTCTCACTTTGTAGTCTCCCATTGGTCGGTCAGATATTTCGGCCACATGGGAGACTTTGGCCCCACGCTGGGGGAATCTCATAAATACCCTCTCTCTTGAGAGGGTCAGGTATTCTAATCATTCTAACTCATACTTAAACACTCGTACTTACTTTCTCTCTAGCCCAAACTTACTTTGACATTGGAGTACCTTGCAGGTACACTCTCTCCTCTCCCACAATCATTGTTGCTGTCCTATATTGAAGGGCAAGACGATCCACTCTGATCACTATATATATATGATCTGGAGTGATTAGAATGCACTGGCAGTGTAAAATATTTTACACTGTCAACCAATCACAACCATGTATTAGAATAAAACGTATTTTTATTTTAAAAATACTGATATTACATGACAATTGTAGACATTTTAATTAATTACAAGTATAAAATTGTCTTGCACTGATATTACACTATCTTTAAACCATATAATAATAATAATAATAATAATAATAATAATAATAATAATAATAATAATAAATCCTATCCATAAATATACGTAATTAGATAATATTGTCTACAACAGTTAACAAACCAAGTAAAATAGTGGTCAAGTTGGCGAAATTATTTAAAGCAAAACACACATGATCCAACTTTCACGGCTAAATAAACAAAAGACAAAATTAACATGGTAGGTGAACTATGACACGAAGATATATATGAGACGAACAACGTCTGTTCCAACCTAATTAATCTCTTTTTATAATATAAATGAACTTTTATATCTCTACACACAAGAGAAGTTGATGATGGAATAAAGCTTTAAGTTGGGATCATAAAGAGTTTTGGAGATTAAGTTTTGAGTTATATAGTTATCTTTAATTTACTTTACATGTACATGAGTGGGGACAATTGCAAAGAAAATAATTGAAGTAAAGTAAATCAATGATTCTCTTTCTTTTTTTGGACAATGATTCCTCTTTAATCTGTGATCAGGATGCACTCTATGGAATTAAAATGAGGATTTGGATAAGCTCTGAAGATTGAAGTTGGTGAAGCACAAATCCTTTTTCTCTCATAAGTTGTCCCACTAGAAAAACATGAAAATATTCGACCTAAGGTTTGGTGGAAAACAAGACAAGTACTTGCCTTGCCTCGTCCTTGATCTAAGTTTTCGATATATATTATATAAATGTAAATTTTAGCACATAGTATAACATTTCTAAACAAAGGA